GGGGAGACGGGCGCCCGCCCCGAAGCGACTTTCGGTCCCCGACGCGCCCCGCCCGACCCCTAGGATGAAGAGGGCGTCTGCTGGAGGTAAGTGACCGTTCCGCGCCCGAACCCGGCCGACGGGGGTGGAGGTCAAGCGGGTAGTTCGCCCTCTCCCCTCGAGCTCACGGCCCATCCGAGCTGCCGAGGCTAGGGGAGTGGTGCTGGGTGGCCGGGAGGGCCACCGCAGTGCTGCGCTGGGCTGGGGCCGCGGGCGCTCCGGCCCGGGGAGGGCGGAGCCGGCGGCAGCAGGAAAAGTTGCCGCTTCCCGGGAAAGTTGACGGCGACGGTAGGGCCAAGGATGATGGTTCGGGGTCCCCAAGGCTGGACCAGGTCTGCTGATGGGAGCAGCGGGCTGGAAGGGCGGCGTCTGGCTTTGGGGCGCCCCGGCTGCTAAGGGGTTAATGAGCGGGGTTTGCAGAAACGCGGGTACTGAGGAGGGGCAGGGGGGTGGGGGTGTCAGGCGCCTCCACTCCCGCCTCTACCCGAGTTGGCCCAGAACCTCTTGTTTCTCTGAGGTCAGGCCGCAGCGGGATGGATGAATGGGGGCGTTGGCAGCAGTAGAGGGCGTGAGGGACAGGGATGTCCCAGTGCCGCCTTCCTAGGGCGGCGGTGAGAGGAGGCAGCAACGCATCCCCATTAGCAGCCTGAGAGCCCCTGAGGGGTGCAAAGGGCGGTGGAGCTCACAGCATCCCCTCCCTGGCGGTCCTCCTTGGACCCCTCCCCCAACCTGGCATGAGGTCTCGGAAGTGGGGGCAAGGGAGGGTGGGCTCCGTGTGAGTAGGCTTCCCTGCCTGGAGGCACTCCCCAGATGCCCTCCAGCTGCCCTGCTCGTGTCCAAGGTGCTGCAGGCTGCACACGTTTTTTTGCACGTGCATGTGTCTACACAGGCTGCACACTTGCACAGGCATGTGCACGTGCACACCACGGCTGCCCCAGTGTGCACATGCACACACACTGCGGCTGCACACACAGACTGTGAGGGTGCACATGCCTGTCCTCGCCCCGCCTGCCCACCCACGGCCGTGAACACGCATGCAACATGCCTGCCTGCCTGCCATGGTCTCCACCCTTAGCACATGCTGGGGTCTTTAAGGAAACCCACTCCCACACCCACATGCTCATGTGTTGGGAGAGGCTCAGAGCAGCTGGGTCCACAGACAAGGGCGAGTCACCCTTAGTGCCACCTCTGTTTACTTACCCTTGTGTCCTGGGCATCTTCCTCTTCACACCCTGTGGCATATGCACACGTGTGTGTGTGTGTGTGTGTAAAAGTTCACATGCATTTGCATGTGTATGTCTGTGCGCGTGACTGAGTGTGCCTGTGGGCACACGGCATATGTCTCTTTGCCTCTGGGAGTGGGTGCCCAGGTGGGCTGTGGCCGAATATGGAGCAGGAACCCTAGAACATGTATTGGGGGCTTCTGGAGAGCCCCCACCAGAGGGTGTGAGGTGTAGGGTCTCCCATCCACTCCCACCCACTAGTGTGGGGAAGGTAGCCAATGGTAGGCTGAAACCAGCCTGGGTGGGGAAGACCCATTTTAAACCTGAGATAAGCAGATCAGACCCTGGACACACTTGGCTGCCACTGCAGCTCAGCTAACTGGAGCAGGTGACTCAGAGGGGCCTGTCTCCAGCACCTTGGTTTCTCCATGTCAAGGAACTCCTTGGTGAGGGGCTCCTTAGTGGTCTCACTTACCTCAGGTTGTGTGAGGCACTGAGCAGGGAGACGTTGTGCTAGGTGAGGGGTAAGGATCCAGCTAACCCACTTGAACTCTGGGGAAGACCCCAGGCTGGGACTTAGAGAGGTGACCAACATCTCCTGCTCCCCCAGCCATCATCACTGTCCTCATTCAGAGAACGACAGGCAGGTCATCCTTGCAGGGCACGTGGGTATAAAACATGCCAACAATGGAGGGATAGTCAGCGGACAGGTGCCCGGGATAGGGTAAGCAGTAGAGCTGGCCACTGCTTTTTTCTGAACTTCAGTCTTTCTTTCTACAAAGCAGGCACTGTCCTGGTCCTGCTCCAGTGAGGTGAGGAGGAAATGAGCCCCTGTGCCAATACCACACTGGGTGGAGGACAACATTTTGACTCCATCTAACAGAGCAGAACCAGGGCTTAGATTATTTGGGTCTAGGCTCAGCCACCTGCTGGTGATGTGACTTTGGCTGACAAGTCACCTCTTCCTGCCTTAATCTTCCTTACCTGTGGCATGGGCCAGTAATCAGGGGTTGCTGGGGACATTTCAAGGCTATGCCCCCGTGGAGTTGGCTCAGCTTCCCCCATGGAGTTCTGACTCTAATGCTTCTGCCTTCAGAATGCCCCAAACACCTCCACCTACCCCACTCCTCGGGAGTCTCTGGAACCCTAACACTGCCAACTGGGCCCCTCCCTCCAACCTATTTGCAGAAGGGTCAGTTAAAGTCCCTAGAGGGAGGCGACTGGGCCAGAGCCAAGCAGAGTAGGAGGATGGCCAGATGGGGAGCAGGGAGGTTGTGAAGTTACTGGAGGGATGTTTCCCAAGCTGAGCAGCTTCCCCACCCTGCCCCTCACCACCTGAGGGGCCTGCAGGACCCAGAGCTTCAGTTTCCTTATGGCAGGGTCCTTCTGTGGGAACTGGCCCTCTTCCTATGGTCATGCAGTGAGAAGAAGGAAAGACGCATGCAGAGGGAGTCCAGGCCAGCAAGTCTCAGCAAGGAGAGGGCTCGGCTTGTGAAGGGTTTGGAGAGGCGCCCCCAACAAGGAAAGTGGGGACCATGGAGGGTAGAGGAAGGTCCTGAGAGGCTGGGAGCTGACCCTCAAAGGGCCCAGGGTTTGTTTGCTTTTGTTGCTAGTGACAGACTACCTGTGAGGGGCAGGATTGCCCACAGATGGCACAGCCCCCAGCGCCATCCCTTCTGTGTTCCTGCCCAGGGCTTGAATTCATGGCTTTGTGGAATGGACGCCTATGGGCAGCCAGTTCAGCACAAGGAATGTCAGGCTGGTGAGCCTAGGATGGGCAGGAGGCAGAGGGAGCCCTCCTGCTGTCCTGGCTTGTGGCCTGGAAAGTCCCCCTGGGAGCCTCAGTCTGCGCATCCAGGAAAAGAGTCAAGAGAAGGGAGCACAGGAAGAAGTTCCAGGGTGACCCTCTGGGCACGTGAACAGTGTGTGATGGACCACACGGCGCATGTGTGAGCAATGACACATCCTGGCCTTTCAGCCTTGGCTTGGTTTACCAAGGACTTTTGGCACTTGGTAGTGCCAGGTGAAAGAGTTCATGTGGCCCTGCCCCCAGCCCGCTGAGCCCTGATCTCTGACCCCCAGGCATCCAGAGGGTCTGGCAGTGCCCCCGCCCTGCAGCCTGGCTACACCCACACCCCAGCCAAGGTCACTGGTGCCTTCCAGCAGCCAAATCTCAGGTGCCGCATTTGCTCACAGCCATCCATTCACTCACTCACTCACTCATTCGTTCCTGGCTTGGGAGATCCTACCCTGAGCCAGGCAAGTCAAGGGGTGTAAAAAAAGAAAATGAAGGAAAATAACAATCAAGGGAGAAGATCCTTGCCCTCTCATGTTTCTAGGATTAAAAGCTTTAAAGGACAGAGTGACCAGGGCAAGAATGGCTGGGGGTTGTCCCACCTTGGATACTCTCCCCACCCCTCCAGCCCCCACAATTTTCTGCTTATCTCGGGGCCCAACTGTGTCCCATTACACCAGGCATTTTGTGCTGCAATTTCTTCTTTTATCACTGTATTTTAAACATTTTGCACGTTGGGAACTATTCTTGTGCATCATGGGTTTACTGGTGTATGTGGAATCCCTTCCTGAGGCTGCACCATAATTTATCTATCCAGACCTGCATTGGCCTCCACACTGCCCACAGCTGAGCAGCTGGGCTGGGAGATGCTGGCACACCTGCCCCAAGCATGTCCCAGCTGGTACTTGCCAGGCCCGGGGGCTAGTCTTGTGCCCCTGCCCTAATACTTGGACCAACGTCTGTGGACAGGGCACAGGGCCAGATCCTGGACCACTTGCCATCCTATGGGGGCTTTGAAAAACATGGGCTGATCAAGTGGGCCACAGAGTGAGTGGGATTTGCTTCCACCCATCAAGATTCCAGCTCTGAGGATGGCTGTCGGGGCAGTGATCACTGCTTCTCTCCTGCCTCTCTTCACACCGTGTCTGGACTCCCTGGCCATGACCTGCTGGGGGCTGATGGTGGTGTGGTCCCACAGCTGTATCCCATCTGATGGAGGCAGACCATGGCCCTGGGGACCTGCTGGCACACCTTATGGAGTGGCCTTGGGGAGCTGCTGAGCCTGTCAGCCCAGGCAGACCCAACAGGCAGTGAGCCCCTCCCCCAGCACGTGGAGCTGATCTAGGATGTGGGGGTCTCAGGAACTGACCCACCCTTGTTCACAGCAGCCTGCCAGGTACCTCCAGTGCTCCCAGCACTCTGGTCAGCCCCCTGGCATTCTTAGCTGGCTGCCTTGACTTGTATTCCATAGAATTACAGATCCTTGAAATGTTGGTGGGTATCAAAATAAGGGTTTTAGAACCCACTGGATTAAATGACCCCTTTACTGTGGGTCCTCCATCCAGGACACCTCCCTAACATGCCTCCAGCCAAGCTCCGCCTGCCTGAACTCCCTCATGGCTGCCCCTGACAAAGCCTCAGCCTCTCCATTATTAGGGCCTAGGCCAGAGGGTCTCATATAAGCACCTTCCCCTCTGCACTCACCAGGTAGCCCCCACCCCTTAGGGCCCCAGTTGTGGAGTGGAGCTAGCAGTGCCCTATTTGATACATGTGAGGACCTGGTGTGCCCAAGAGCCTGTTTTAGGAAACTGTGGCTGAGGTCCCTCAGAAGGGCAGAGGGAGAGATCTTTGGGCCTCCAGAAAGGGCCGTAGGATGGGTGAACTGTCCCACACAAACTCCGCACCCTCAAGGCACCCAGTGGGCAGAGGGACCACTGCTTCTCCCAGCAGTGTGAGGCAATGTGCAAATTTAACCTTTGGATTTATGACTCTATTTCTTTGCAGCAAATGTCACGGGAAATGTCAGGCC